CAAAACCTATTGCGTAGACACTGAAGTTTCTACTTCAGTGATGATGGTGTAAGAAATCAAATCATAGGATGCCAGTAAGTTTCAGTGGTGTTGATTCTCTGCTTATATGCATTTCAACACTTGAGGGGTCCTGTTGGAGCCCCAGGTAGAGCATTGCAGTGAGGGAGGGGTAAACTGCTGTCAGTACAGTGGTGCAGCGATTGAGGAGGATCTCTGATTTGAGTGCTCTTGTAAAGAACATCTCATGCATTCAATAGGGAAATCTGATTATGATTTGCTCTCCTCCTGCCCTGGAGCAGGCTGTTGTTTTCTGAACTGATGATTGCTGAGTAGTAGAAAGAGACGAATCTTTGCAAGATGCAAGAGAGCATCCTGGATCAAAGTACTTGGTTTTTCAAGGTAAAGTGCATTAAACTGGGGAGAAGCAAATCAACAACAGTAAAGAATATAATCTGTGCATTTTATCACTCTGCTAACCCCAGCTGTAAAATTTACCATAGGAAGGCTAATAAAATGGGAGCCACACAAGCAAACAGGGGGCATGGGATTATCGGCAAACATTTATTTTGGCTCTGGTGGAGCCACTCCCCTGATCAAAGTGGATGGAGTTTGAACCTCTTTTAAGTTGTTCCCTGGTCTGTGAGTGCTCTGATCTTGCATTGATGGCATCAGTATCATCTGTGCAGCTGAGTGGAAGAAGGAAAGTATCAGGAGGGAGAAGGAAGTTATGTGTGAGGCTGCTCTACTGCAGTGTGAGACAACAGTAGCTTATTTTAGCTTTTCCAGCCACTGTCTGGTTTAGGAAAACAACCTAAGGCTTATTGTATAACTAGATAGTACAGGCATTATCACAGGGCCAACAGGGAATGCTTTACCATTTGCAGGCTCATGCCTGGCAGACTGAATAGCTCTGTTACCCTTATCAACAAAATGCCCTGCTGGCAGAAATCACCTTGAGCCTCAGGCTCTGCCCTTCCAGAGCATCTTTGATCCTTTTGTTCAAGGCTCCTCCTTTCTCACCCACCAAGAGCTGGTTGAATCCCTCTTGGAAATGAGTCTTTTGGCCAAAATAAACCTCTCCTCTCTGATCCTTTCAGGCTGGTGGTTGGGGTCTGGTGGGGGATGCTCACTGAATGTGGTGTTCTTCCTCAGTCTCACTGGCTGGGAAAATATATAAAGAGCTTCTGGGAAGAGGTACACTGTTGAGTAACATGGTAGTCTCATGACCTCAGGAAAAGGATCTTTCTATGCAAACATCTTGCATCTCCCTTTATGTGTTAAGGGCAGAGCAAAGGGAGCCTTACTTTTGACTTTCTTTCCATTTTTGTCCCTTCTGTGTTTCTTTTATTTAGTTTGTGCTCTGTTGGGTAGATTGTTGTAGACACCAGTGTGCTTGAGTTCAGATTCAGCTTAAGGCCAGTTCCTAATATGTTTGCATTAGAGAAGCAAGAGGGAAGCTGGGCTTGAATATATCCTCATGACGTGAATGGGTCTCCTTGCTGGGTTGGGCAGTGCTGAAGAATGACAGAACATCCCTGCCTCAAAAAGAAGAACAGGCTGAGCAGCAGGGTATGAGAGCAGACAGCAGGAAGTTAACCCTGTGGCTGTTATTCTGCAGGGGATTGCTTCATAATACATTTTTTTACAATTCTTATTTTTAAACAGCTCCACATTATCCAGCCAATGCTGGGCCAGAGTACTTGTTTTTGGGCGCTTCCCCGGAGGTGTGGGTATTGAGGGGAAACTGAAGCAATCTGCAAGGCTGGCAGAGCAATCAAAGCAAGACTTTCCTCTTGCTGTCCCAGGGTACACTGTGTGACTTTCTGCCCTCATATCTGCCACAGTCTACATTCTTGCACTGCATGAGGAAGGTCCTTCATCCGTTATGTGAGGTCTTGGAAGGTTTTCCTGTTCTAGGCTGGTTGAACACTGTAGCATGTGCCCTATCCTACTGCTGCATAGAAACAAGGCTTTCAGCAGTATACAGCCACATAACAAGGCTGGGTGGGTGAGAGCTGGATTTGTGGGTGACCTTCACACTGAACTAGGGATGTGCTGGTGTGATAGGAGATCTGTTCTGGCAGTCTGGGACTTTGCCCGCTGAGATACAGAAGTCTCTGTGACTAGGCTGTGAATTACTTGATAGAAACATCGTAGTAGCTGTTTTATCTCAGCTTTAACTGATCAGTGAGCGTATTTGTAGCACACTGATCACTGTGTTTGCCTGAGCCCTGTGGGAGCTCCTGGGAGCAGACTCCCATCCCATCTGTCTCACTGAAGCATTTGTCAGTCCTGGGAAGGTTACTTTAGAATAATCCTCTGAAAACACTGGGATTCTTCATCATGGTCCATTGCATGAGAGCTGAGGGTAAAGATAGGTTCATGCTTTACCTTCCCAGTGTCCTCTGTGACAAAAACTAGATTTTATTGGGAATAACACCCTTCAGATGTTCCTGCTCCACTTAGTCCCTTTTCTCATGCTGCAGGACACTATCAAAATAGTAAAAAGGAGCCACTCTGGGATTATTTTAGGCCTACACTGGAGAGTGTAGGAGATGGTGCATGAGAACTTTAAACAATGGATTTTTATGGAAAGATAACATCTTTCAACATAACAGAAGCAACAGCATAAAGACACTTCCAATTCAGGCAATATTGCCAGCAAGGGCTGAGAATCTGGCCCAGAGTCTGACCATGGGATGAACTTGTGCCTCATATCCCTCACTTCAAGGAGATCTGTGTGGAAGTGTGCACATCTTTGCTTTGGCCAAACCCAGTTGCCTCCTTGCTCAGGCGGAAATTCCCTGTGGGATATTGCTCTCACCTGTGCACAGATGAGCTATATTCAGACTCTGGTTGTTGCTACCGTGCCCTTACTAAACTTTTTGAGGCTATTTCAGAAAAATGACTGCAGTAACTTCCAAATATACTTGAATTCAGGTGTGATAGTGTGAATACACTTTCTGGTGTAACAGACCTTCTGGTCTAACAAGGAATTAATTGGCTGTGCTGGGATCAATGAAGATGAACTCTCTTTTTGTTGCTTGACCATGCACAATGGTGTCCAATTAGAAACAGGAAATCAAGGAAGAAACTAAGGCATTTCTTAGGCAGAAGGAGTAAAGCCTTTTTTAATTTAAAGGACAGCTGAAACCTTAAGCTGCCAAGCCCTGAATGATTTTTAGACAGCTAATCTCCCTGGCTCTGTGATATGGCAAACATACCTTCCTTCTGCTATGGAGAAAGCTCCAGTTTAAATGTTGGAATGTGGGTTTGAGATTTAGTCTTGGATTTTCAGTTTAATTCCAATAGAAAAAGGGCAAGCAATTTTTGTGATAGGAAGCCAAATGTTCTTCACTGGTTCTGGGAGTAAGGCTCTGCAATGTCTTGGGTGTGAGCTAGGCAAAAAGGATCAGTGATGGAAGATCTCAAGGGCCAGAAGTCTGATGCTTTAGAGATTAAATTCCCACTTTTGGGGCAGCTGAGACCTCCTCCAGCAGCTTCTGCTGCAGATGCCCTAGGGGAGCCTCTGCACCATGTGGAGGCAAAGGCTGGCTTGTTCCCTGTGGTGGGCCTGGGGGCCCCTTCAGGTGTGACTGAGGGTATAAGGAGCCTGGTGAATTTGGCTAAGAGGATCTTGGCTATTATGGGGTCAGTTTCAAGTAGAAATGCTTAAACTAGCCCTGTGTCTGTTTTTAATCTGCTGAGTATTTCATCAGATAACAGACCAAGAAGCTTGGTGGCAGGAATTTGGGTTTTAGTCATGCTTTTGTTGTGTGATTGCAGTGGAAGGGAGCTGAGCAAGTGTACTCTTGCGTGAGTGCTGCTGCTGAATGTAGTTTTGTTAGCTTCTCCACAAGGTATGGCTCTTCTGATATATCAGTGGAATCATGGGGAAAGAGGTGAATCTGAAGAGCTGCTGACACGAGGAGAAAAAAATGAGCTTGTGTCTGTATTGTGCTACTATTTTACTAATTATGAAGACCTAAAATGCAGCAATGGTGGTGACTTGGATGAACTGTTTCCAAAACAGCATCAGCACTTAAGAGTTGAACCCTGATCTGGGGATTGGTGGCTGAAGCTGTGATGAACTCCCTGGCCTTCTTTCTTTTCCAAACCAGGATGTAATAGAAATGGGCTGAAAGTGCAGTGTGTTAAATGTGCTCTATCCCATCTGGTGGTGTTTACTGGTTCATGTTCAGCAGCAGTAAGCCTCCCTATATGAGTAAGGCTCAAAGAGCTGCTCTTCTTTGCAGAGATAGCAGGTGAGAATTTTGCTGGACAGGAAGAAAGCAAGAGACTATTCCTTGCTGCTAGCTGTTGGCTGCTCTGCAGTGTTGGTTATCTGTGCAGCAGGGATTCTCTTGCTGCTTAGGAATTCATTCGAGCTACAGAATGTGGATGTGTAGGATGGAGGCCATGTGTCAAAGCTCCTGTGTGGCCAGATGTGAGCCACAGCTGCCCTAGCTGCACATGCATCTCTCAAGATGAGGCATGCAGCCCCGTGCTTGCTACCATCCTTCGTAAACTTGTGCTCAGCTCCAGGACCCTCCCGTGCCTTAGATTCCTGCCCATACCTTTCCAAATCAGAACTCAACGCTACTCCCAAACGTTCCCCTAGAGGGAAGGATCCCAAACAGGTACTCTCCTACTCGAGATCCTAATCCCATGTGCTGCCCTATGCCTACCTAGGTTATCTAGCTACCCATCAGCTATGCCAGGTGAAAGGTTCTTGGAATGAGATGATTTGGGGATGTGCTGCACCTGGAATGTAATATGTGTTACTTCTCCTGGGGCTTTATGCTCAAAGTAAGGAACAGTTTGTCCTTTGTGAATATAATACATGTGTAAACATGACTGATACTTTATATTTAAAATGTGCTCATTTAACTTGTTCCCCTCAATCTTCTCTCCCCCTTCCCCTTCCCCACCTTCCATCTCCCCCCCCCCTTAAGCTTTTGAGAGACCCTAGAATCATGATGAAAAATGAGAAAAAATGTTCTTTCATTATGAATTTATTGAGAAGCAAGAAGAGCAAATAGCTTAGGTACAGAATGATTCACATGTCCCTTAAAAGACATTAAAGAACAAAAAATTCCAGGTAGACTCCAGAAGGTTACAGAAGGTTAGAGTGATATGAATCCAGTAACAGGACATGGATCACTGGAAAAAGGGCGTGTTCATCCTATCTGGTTTTGTTCTGTGATTATAACAAAATCTGTACTAGTGGAATCTCCAGATTGGCCCCAGAGAAGACTTAAGATGTTGAATGCTGTAACTGCATAATATATGATATATATATATATATATCTCAAGTCTTTAGCCTGTGTTAGAAATTGATACCTCCATAACTTACTGCAAAAAATTGTATAGGCTCTCACCTGTTCTGCTTCGTGCTATTTTCATCCTAAAATGAAAATGTTGGTATTGGATACTTTCTACTTACAGCTGTATATATTAGAAGAAAAAAGTAGGCTACAGTGTGCTTTTAGAGATAAAAGGTACCACTAGAGGATCTAGTAAATTCTTGAAAATAGTGAATTATAAAGAGGAACACCATCAGAATCACCACGTGGGGATTATTTTCTTCAGAATCATCGTAGCATGCAAGCAGCCTACTTGGCTTGAATAGTTTTGATAGTCTGTAGCTTTCATGTAATTGGTTTGTTGCTAATAATAGTCTAAATAATTTTTCACGGTAAAATCGGCACAAGCGACAGTGACATGATCTTCATTAGTCAGCTTTGCTGAAACAGTGTAATCTCCCTGTGTGAGACAAAAGCAAAGCAAGAGATTAACCCATCAGTAGTACATAGCTGGTTCTGTTTCTATTTCCGAGTCCTCTTCCCAGAAATAGAATAACCCTTTTCCCATCAAGTTCCTCCAAAACCTTTCCGGTCCAAATGTTCCAGAGGTGGTAAAGAACTTCCCATATTTTCTGCCAAAATACTCTCATCAAGGATATCAATGCTGACAAGCATAAGTTCAAAATTGAAACAGTGCAAGGGGAACAAAATGTTTTGTTGCATAAAAAATCCCTTCAAATCTGTGCAACTTCTCATGTTTCTTATGAGCAAGCACAATATAGCCTGCGCTGTTTAGTAACTAGAAAGCAAAGAGGTGCTCATTTGTCTGGCACTTCACTTCCTTGGATCTTGTTGTTTAGTGTTATTAATATGAATTTCTATAAGAGAGCACCTTGGAGGGATGTGTGTGTATAGATGACTCAATATATGATGAATTCCTATATAATAAAACAAGGGGTAGTTTAATTTCAAATTGTGTATTTAAAATTATGAATTCAGGCTTTTGGTAGAATTTGTATCATTACAGTGCAAAAAAACCCCGAACCTTAAAGAAGCCATGACTGTCTTGTTTTGGTCATAACTGCTCTCTCCAGACACTTGGAGAAGGAGAAGCACTGGTTATGGGGAGTGACAAGCTTATTTAGCAGATTTGAAGGAAGAGGTGAACTAGATTTCATTCACTCTATATTGCTGGCACTGCAGTAATTATTTCTGGTTTTATTTTTCCTGGAGGGTGGAGGGGAGAAAAACCTGCGGTCAGAGAGCTTGGCAGCAGGGACCTCCTGGCTGTGTACCACAGAAAGCTTTTGCCCTGCTCAGAACTCTTCTGGTTGTGGAGTAGAAAGAGGCATGGGTAGAATGAGTCAGGTTTCCTGACATTTGCCTTTTACAATGGGATTCCTAAGGCAATATCTGGCCTGGGTCCCCACAGAGAGGTTCAGGTTAAGTGTAACATCCAAATTTAGAGAGAGGCCCAATGGCAACATGCTCATGAGAATACAGTCTTGTTGTAATTGCTGTGTGGACTGTGCAAACGTCCCTCAGGCTGCTCAGATGAGGCTGTTCTTTGCAATGATCAGGAGATAATTGCTCTATGGGATAACTCCTTTTTGCCAGCATGGAAGGAAGGTATTATTTGTCTGATTGATTAATTAACATAAAAGGCTTCCTATTCCCTTTCTCACAATCACATTAACTCTCTAAAAGCTTATAGTTGAATTCAGGGAAGTTCATAATAGCTAATTTCCATTATTTATTAGTAATTAGGGTTTTTTTCTCCTCCAGAATAAATTTTTGCTTGTGGTGAAAAATTGTTATTAAAAGAGGATTGTGAACAGTCTTAGAATTTCTGGCTCCAAATTCAGCTAATTTGCCCAGAACTGGAGTTTTACTTGTCTGTGTGCATGTTTCTTGGGCTTTCTCTTGGTTTAAAGATTTATTCCTCAGTTTGTCTAGAGATTTTACTATGTAAGTGTCCTCAGTGTGTTAGTAAAGCTGCTCCTGGAGCAGGATGCTGATTGATGTGAGCTCAAGCACTCCTGTACGAGAGATCAAAAGTTATTGCTCAACACAGAATCTCTAGGTGTAGGCTTTAGGGAAGCAGGCTGGTAGGGGTGGGATAACAGCCTGCATAAGGGGCCCAGCTACCTGTGTGAAAGCCTTGGGAAAATGTGGGTTGTGGTTGCTGCTATCACCAAGGGAAGATTGAGACATATTGAATGGTAGCTATTATGGAGGCTCTATTCTCCCAGAAACCAGCTATCTTTGTTATCACCTCTGCAGGTCTTGGCAAGCCTGGTTCTTTGGGACTCATGTCTTTGTTCTGTATCCCTGTTCTGATCCTGTCTTCTTTTCCTGCACCTGGACCAATCCAGTGATGAGCAGGCCTGAGACCTCATGTTTGGGCCTATGAGATAGGTTTTGTGTCTGCTGCTGAAGATCTGAGAGCTCATGCTGTGCCTCTCTTAGTAAATCTAATGAGTATTTCACTGGCCACCTGAGCTGTATGCTTTCGTAGTGGTAACTATGATCCTTTCTCCACCACATTCTCAATCGTATGCCTCAATAATCTAGATTGTGCCTTCTTCTCTTCAATCTTGCTATTTTGAGAGTAAGAGAGGGAGAGCCTCCTGAATATCTATGTGTCTGCATGACTTCAGTGTTGGTACAGGAGATCTTCTATACTAAGAAAATCTGTCTGTCTCTGGATAACGGTGCCTCTCCTATGCTTTATAAGCAAAACCACTTAATTTCATATTGGAAAGAATTAGTCATGTAAAACACTATCAGACCCAGTGTGCTAGCCAGGGGAGCCTGGAATGTGCTGATGTGATTGCTGGTAGTCCTCTGACCACACCTCATCCGGAAAGCTTGGGAGCACATCTGTGACCAACTTACCTGTGGGATTTCTTTGATTCCCAGCGTGACTGGTCCCTCATAGTGGAGGTGTTCTGAAAAGCAACAATGGTGTTGGGTGGTTAGACATGCAGCACATGAAGGAAACAAGCAGCTGATCATAGATATTTTCTTTTTGAATTTCAAAGTGCTCCAGTGACAAGTGTTATGGAACTGCAAAATGCTGTATACACAGTCTTGCAACAGCCCTCCTGAGAGAAATATCAGTATGTATACTGCCTTGTGCAGAAAGGAAGGCAGAACCTGGACTCAAGGACCTGCAGCCCCTGCCTGAATGGAGGAGAGGGACATGGCTTTGCAAACTAGATGGGTGTTCCTATGGCAGCATGCATCCTTCAAGTGGGGAAATGAAAGGGGAGGGGGACTGCTGGACTCAGGTCCTTTAGCGTGAACTATTAAACACCTGCAGGTGCAATAGCTGAACTGTACTGTTTTGGTAACTTTTATAAAAACCAGTCTGAGCTGAGTGTTTGAGGAGGACTTCTGACTGCTTGCCAAACATGACCTTAAAGTAATAAGAACATGTCTATCTCACTGCTGAGGGAGCGTTCACCAAGAAGTCACATGAGGTATTAAAGTCATCACAAGTTGTGCTGGTGACTGGAATAGAACCCAGGAGTTCCACCTTCCAGTCCTCATCTCCCTAATCGTGTGAGGTATGCTTGCTCTTTGCTGTTGAAGAAAGGGCAACTTTGGCATTAATGGAGAGAATTAGCAAGCTATTTTGCAGTTCCTCCTACTTCTTCATAGCTTACTGGGCCAAACTGTGCAGACTTGACTGAAAATAAAACTTGTAGATGTTTCGGTGTTTCAGAATTTCTTGCTCAACTTGCCCCACACAAGTCATGGAAAAGTCTTAAGAACTGTTTAAGGATTCTCTTTTGTAGGTGTCATGAAATATTCTTTACTTTGACAGTGACAGAGGAGTAAGTGTTTCATCATGTTTATATGAGTATGCGCTGGCATCTTGATGCTTGTCATTTCTAGAGAGTTGTTTTAGTCTAGTCTCACTGTTGGTTTATACTGCTTCTTCTAAAAGGTTGGACAAAAGGTTCATAATGTCTTTATGTTGTATGGTCCATCTCATCATGCCTGGGCTTGGAAAACATTCCACAGGAGGTCTTCCCACACATGTTATGAAATGTTAGTCTTGTAACAAAATTTTATGAAAGAATCATGACTATAAGATAAGCTAGGAAAAGGAGAAACCTCAGATATTACCATATTCTGCACCTTTGCATTAATGAGAAGTTTGCTTAATGTAATGCCCTGATGATCCTGGGAGGTGGAAAAGATGCAAAACAACTCAGTGTTTCCCTGAAAAACCTAGTACCAAAACAGGGAATAGAATAAGTATGTTTTGGCTGATCAGTCTCAAAATTATCAACTATGCTACAGCACCTGTAGTGTACTCGTTCCTCTCTGCATCCCCGGCCAATTCACTGGACACCAAGAAGTCTTTTCCTTTTCCTTTTCGAAGAGCAGTCAGCATCACTGCTTGCTTCTGTACACGAAGCAAGAGCCCAGGAGTCTGACACATCTTCATTGCAGAGAGCAGTGACTCAAGAATTTTAAAAATACAGTACAGCCCACTTCTCACTTCACAACTTTAATAGAGTCTAAATGGGAATTAAAGGCACTGCAGACTGCATGACTTAGGTGATGAGTGACTCCCTTGGGACTTAAGCTGTATGTGTGTCAATGTGTGCTAAGGCATATTGTGAGCTGCCCCCTCAGGGTGATGTGGACCATGCAAGCTCACGCTTTGTGTGTCCTTTCTTTCAGTAGAGAGCTTTGTATGACTAC